AGAATAATTATTTGATATGATATCTTTTCTATTTTCTTATCTTCTCTAATTTCCATGTTTGTCTAGGACTAGGATTCTAGAGAGCTTTGTATTATATATTTCGACAGTAACCTTCAATGAAAGTCAAGCTATTTTCTGCCTAATTCTATCTAATTCTACATGGTATCAGGTCTAAGTCTTTAATTTTTTAATTTTAAAATTATGGTTGGTGGCAATGATCAACCACCACCACCACCACCAAAAATCGAGCCAAATTCACCATATTACCTCGGTTCCCAAGATTGACCGGGGGATTTCATTACTCCTACTCGCTTAACTGCTGAAAATTATGAAACATGGGCTGCCGACATTCAAACAGCATTAGAAGCTCGAAGGAAATTTGAGTTTTTAGATGGTACTATTACCACACCGTCACCCCCCTGCACAAAGTCCGATTGGACGGCAATCAATGCAATGCTTATATCGTGGATTACAAATACGATAGACCCCGATTTAAAATCAACTCTGTCAAAATTCAGAGAAGTTAAACCCTTTTGGGATCACCTTAAACAACGATTTTCTCAAACAAACGGTCCTCGCATTCAACAATTGCGTGCCTCCATTGCAAAGTGTGAGCAGACCAAAGCGATGTCCGTCTCTATGTACTATGGCAAACTTCATACTTTATGACAAGAACTTGATCGGCACGAACCTTTGATTTCTTGTTCTTGCTGTGATAAATGTATGGCAGGAAAATTACATGAAGAGCGTAGAGCCCAAGCTCGTTTACATGATTTTTTAATGGGATTAAATTCAGATTATTATTCCTCTCTCCGTACACAAATATTATCTCAAGATCCTCTTCCCAGCCTAGACAGAGCATATCAATTGGTGACTCAAGACGAGCGTGTTCGCTTGTCCAAACAGGAAGCCGACTCCACTTCTGCCACGCCCTCAGAGGCTATTGGGTTTGTGTTCAGGCAGCTGATGCAACAAATTCTGGTGCTGCTCGTGGTAGGGGTCGAGGCAATGACCCGCCTGTTTGTTCTAAATGCCGCAAAACAGGTCACGAGACCTCTAATTGTTGGGGGGACATAATCTGTGGACATTGCAAGAAGAAAGGTCACCCCGAGAGTCATTGCTTTGAACTTGTGGGTCGACCCGATAATCGGAAGCAAGGGCAGGGGCGTGGACAGGTTCAGGGACGCGGCCAGGCTCGAGCTAATGCTGCTACAAGTGGAAATCCATCTCCCACACAAAATTCCCTTAGTACCTCAGCTTTGGGGCACCTATTTACGCCTGAACAATGGAAGGCTATTGCCGGCATTGTTGGTAATGCCCAAATTCATGATAACAGATTGACCGGTAAGTTTGATGTCACATCTTGGATTATTGATACCGGCGCAACTCACCATGTCACCGGAGATAGTACATGGCTAGTTGATACTAAAAACATAGAATGCTCTGTTGGATTACCGAATGGAGCGAAAGTACTAGCTACCTTGGTGGGATCTGTCTGTTTATCGGAGAATATTACTCTCACCGGAGTTCTTTATGTTCCGAATTTAAGTTGCAATTTATTATCTGTGTCTCAACTTAATGATGATTTACATACTATTGTCCAATTTGATTCTCATGTTTGTGCTATACAGGACCAAGCGAAGGAGCTGATTGGAACGGGAATTAAGAGAGATGGACTATATTATTTTAGCAAACCGAAAGTGTCAAACATCGTTGAAGCAACATCAAAGTTGGAGTTGTGGCATCGCCGGCTTGGACATCCTTCGGAAAAAGTAGTAAAATTACTTCCTCATATTAGTAGTAGTAAAGATCATTTAAATACGGGTTGTGAAGTATGTATGCATGCTAAGCATCCTAGAAACAAATTTCCTTTAAGTGATAATAAAGCATCTCGAATATTTGAGAAAATTCGTTGTGATTTGTGGGGTCCCTAACGACATGATTCGTCGTGTGGATCTCGTTATTTTTTGACAATTGTTGATGATTATTCGAGAGCAGTTTGGGTTTATTTGTTTATTGATAAATTAGAAGTTTTTCAAATGTTTATGGCTTTCATTGCTATGGTTGATCGAAAATTTTCTCAAACAATTAAGGTGGTTCAAAGTGATAATGGTACAGAGTTTAATTGCTTACATGACTACTTCAGGGCTACTGGAATTTTGTTCCAAATATCATGTGTGGGGACACCCCAACAAAATGGTCGCGTAGAGAGAAAGCACAAACATATTTTGAATGTTAGTCGTGCTTTAAGATTTCAAGCAAAATTACCCATTTATTTCTGGGGTGAATGTGTTCTCACTGCTACGCATTTAATTAATCGTACTCCATCTCCTCTTTTGGAGAACAAAACCCCTTTTGAGATTTTGTATGACAAACCTCCGTCCTTTGATGCTATTCGAACCTTTGGATGCTTATGTTTTGCTCATAATCAGAAAACTAAGGGCGATAAATTTGCTGGTCGTAGTCGCAAGTGTATTTTTGTGGGATATCCCTTTGGTAAAAAGGGATGGAGATTGTTTGATTTAAATACAAAAGAATTTTTCGTTTCACGAGACGTGAAATTTATTGAGGAAGTGTTTCCGTTTGGGAGTCCAGAAGAAGTCAACATATCCAACAATGAGTACGTTGACCATAATATTGATGAGGATTTTTCAAAAATTATTTATGAAGATGAAGTTGAGGTTAGAGAACCACAACATGAGAACTCGGCCCCCAATCCTTTCCAGCCCAACGGCCCAGTGACAGATCACGCTTCACCAGCGCCCAACGGCCCACTATCTGATTCGCCTTCTGTTCAGCCCGCTGGTAATTCAGCGCCAGCTGGCCGCGTGATGATCATCCCACGCAAGAGGTAACTTCTGATGGGCCTCTTCCAATTGGGTGTACTGCTGGACAGCGTGACCATGATAATGACGCAGGCTCACATGAACAAGCTTTGGGTCGTGGCCATCGTCAAAAGTTTCCTAATGTCCTACATCGTGATTTTGTGACACACACGGTTTTTGCTAATAGTCCACTCTCCTCCTCTTCCAGTCACTCCTCAGGTACTCCTTATCCTTTAGTACATTACATAAATTGTGACAATTTTTTTGTCAATTATCGACAATTTTTGGCAGTTATTGTTAAGGGTAATGACCCAAAATCGTTCAAAGAGGCAATGAAATATGATGGATGGCGCAAATCTATGAAGGAAGAAATCCGGGCTTTAGAGGATAATGGTACATGGACTCTAGAACGTCTTCCTCCCGGGAAACGCGCACTTGCCAATCAATGGGTCTATAAGACCAATCTAATGGTGATATTGAGCGTCTTAAATCCAGATTAGTTGTGTTTGGTAATCACCAACAAGCTGGAATTGACTATGATGAGACTTTTGCTCCGGTTGCCAAGATGACTATCTTTCGTGCTTTTCTCGCAATCGCAGCTTGCAAAAATTGGGAAATACATCAAATGGATGTACAAAATGCCTTTTTACATGGTGACCTAGAAGAGGAAGTATACATGAAGTTGCCCCCCGGGTTTGAAAGCTCTGATCCTTCTTTGGTGTGCAGGTTGCGCAAGTCATTGTATGGCTTGAAACAAGCACCTTGGTGTTGGTATGCAAAGTTGACAACAGCTCTGAAACGGTATGGTTTTATCCAATCCTATTCAGATTACTCTTTATTCACATATACTAATGGAAAAACTCAAATCAATGTCTTATTTTATGTGGATGATCTTATTATTTCTGAGAATGATTCCGCTGCACTTAAGGTTTTCAAAGCATATCTTAGTGATTGTTTTAAAATGAAAGATCTTGGTTCCCTTAAATATTTTTTGGGCATTGAGGTGGCTCGTAGTTCGTCCGGACTATTTTTGTGTCAGAGAAAGTATACTCTGGATATTATCTCTGAAACAGGATTATTGGGAGCTAAGCCTAGTGGGTTTCCCATGGAACAGAATCACATACTCGCTCATGCTAATGGAGAATTTCTTCAGAATCCGGAAGCTTATCGTCGTCTTGTGGGACGACTCATATATCTCGGAGTCACTAGACCGGATCTAGCTTACTCAGTTCACATTTTGTCACAGTTCATGCAAGCACCACGCATAGAACATTGGGAGGCGGCCTTGAGAGTTGTTCGGTATCTTAAAGGATCTCCAGGCCAAGGCATATTATTGCGTTCGGATAGTGAGCTTACCTTAGAGGGTTGGTGTGACTCAGATTGGGCGGCGTGTCCTTTAACTCGACGCTCGTTGACAGGTTGGCTAGTGTTTTTAGGAAAATCACCGATTTCTTGGAAGACTAAAAATCAACCTACAGTTTCTACTTCTTCTGCAGAGGCGGAGTACAGGTGTATGAATGGAGCCACTTGCGAATTAAAGTGGCTCAAGGGTTTATTGTTAAGTTTGGGTGTGCAACATCCTAAAGCTATTAAATTGTTCTGTGATAGTGAGTCAGCATTGCATATTGCGAGGAACCCTGTGTTTCATGAGCGTACGAAACACGTAGAGGTTGATTGCCACTTTGTTCGTGATGCGATTACTGAAGGCTTAATTTCCCCGTCACATGTGTCCACTAAAGATCAATTGGCGGATATATTCACAAAGGCACTCAGAAAGGCACAGTTTGATAAACTTCTTTTCAAGTTGGGCATTTTTGATCCTACTGCTCCAACTTGAGGGGGGTATTAGGATATATATTTAGGAAATATCATATATTTAGGAGAATAATTATTTGATATGATATCTTTTCTATTTCCTTATCTTCTCTAGTTTCCATGTTTGTCTAGTACTAGGATTCTAGAGAGCTTTGTATTATATATTTCGACAGTAACCTTCAATGAAAGTCAAGCTATTTTCTGCCTAATTCTATCTAATTCTACAAGAAGTCTTCTTTTACTTTTTGCCATGCTGATTCTGGAGCTTGTGCGTTGAGTGTGTATAACCTTCCATTTTGGGCACAACATACAGTCACATTATGGTGCTGAAACGAGGAGCTTTCAACCCTAAATTCTAATTCATAATAATTTACGTTTCTCAGAGAATCGCCTCTCAGGTTTGATCTCAGCAATGTAGCCTTCACATCTGGACGGCGAGTGGGAGCAGTTATTGTTCTGATAACAGCTTCTCCTGCCTCTTTTGGTCATCCAAATGCTTCGACCCTGTGAACAAAATACGATTCAAAAACCAAAATAGTTCCTGATTGGTGTAGAGGTGCTATTGTGCCAATAATTCACTTTAAAATTTGTTTATTTGACTAAAAAATTTAAATGTTCCTATTACAATAAATGTTGAGCTGTTGATTGTTACAGCTAACATCAGAGAAATCAGTTGTAGTAGTTTAAGATAGGTGAAGGATCAAAAAACATAGTTGATGATGCGCTAAGATCAGCACGGGTACATGTACGGCTTGTGCCATTGGTTTACAATGTGCTTTAGATATATTTTGTTTAACTAGTGTGTTTTCTTTATCCTTAGTACTGAGTCGCTTGAGTGTAGAGTGCCTCAGGGGTGGAGGGTTGAGACTAATAGACCATGCTTCAAACTTAATTACCTTAAATCTGGAGAGACTGATGAAACAATGACGCTGACGTTAAACTCACCAGCCGAGCCAGGAGGACCAAAGGCGATGACTGATTCATTCACATTCCTTTTGCTACGTTTATCAGAATTGAGTGGAGGGGGATCGAGTGAGCTCTCCTGTTCTGCCCGTTCTGCTGCTCGATAGAATAATGTTTGGTCCGCCACCCATGTAGCTGGATAGAAAAAAACATTCAATATTTAATCTGACAGCTATTTGAATTTATGCTCTATAGTGGCTTCAAATAATATATAGATTGCATGTATGATACGAACTTGCTAACTAAATCCTTCATCTGGCTGAATGCAGCGACTATATCCTCCTATTGGATAAAGAACATCTAGCTTGAGATTACGCCCTGTATCCGGAGAAAGTCCGAAGAGGAAGCTTGTGATCCCCCCGAAATTAGCACCAATAGCTACAAAAGAGGCTGACCCAATGCCTATCACAAGCTGTTGTTGAAATGTCGATGTAAGTGGTGCAAATTGCTCGGCAGGTGAATACTGGGTGCCCCTCCCTTTCTTGTCACCGGATGATTGAGTAAGATATATTCGGTTCCGGTTGGATGGTATTGTAAGGTAATGGTAAGGTTGCTGTAATGCCATTCTAACTTCTAAGATCTCTATGACTGGAATGTGTATTTACTGCTCTGAATTAAATGAGTTCTGATGAAAATGATGCAACAAATCGCATGGAGAAAGTTCCCAGTGTGCCTTGCCTTGTATGAGATAAACAGATAATGTTAACTACTTTCCGTGGGTCATTTTTAGTGGCTCTCATTTGCTGTTGTGTGCGTTGAAGCTCAACTCAGTGTCGCCCATTCAAATAGTCACGTCACTAATTTTATTGCTGCTTTCCAAAAGGGCCAAAATTCCACACATTTCCTTCTTTTTCTATTTAACACGTTTTTTTAGCTAATTTGATAATGCATATTTGAGAGGAAAATGATTAAACAAAATTTAACAAGATTTCATGTAATTATATTTTTTCATAAATATAAATCACATTAGTCAAGTGTGTGTGAATATTGAATAGTGCTAAAAATTAAATTGTGTCCATTTAAGAATGGATGAAATTTGAAATTTTAGTTTAGGTAAGAATAAAGTTATTACAAATTTACAAGTAACAAATCTGAGAAGTTTGAAAGAGTGCAAATTTGAACTTACATGTTTGCCAAAGGGAAATGAATAGGCTTCAATTCATGACACAAGGAAATTCCCAAAATAACAATCACTTCATCCCACTAAAAACTTGAGTAGTTGCATTTAGCTAGGAGATCTGAATCGTGTTACTATTGTCAAATTACTGAGATATGAAAATGACATTCCCGCTTGATTGATGACTGATGAGTTCAAATAGATGAATGTTCTCATCGTTGAAGAAACAAAAAAAAAATAAAAATAAAGGTGACATCAACAAAGTATTGCTACTCGACCGATTTCAACAAAGTGAGGCATTTCCAACCGCAACGTTTGTGTTACTGCCGTCACGATTGCGGGAGGGTTTAGATATGAAATATCAGAAAAAATATGTGTGATATATTTTCCGTATATATCTTATTACGAGAATAATATATTTAGGTTTATTTATGTTAAAGTAATATTTAGTGAATATATTGTTAGGATATATGGTATATCTTTTAGTAAGATTGTTTCATACTCCCTCCGTTTTTAAATACTTGCTCCACTTTCCTTTTCCGACCGTTTTTAAATACTTGCTCCATTTCTTTTTTTAGAAAGCTTTTACAATATTTAAGTCATTTTCTCACATTTAGTGGACTCAACATAATACTCTCTCTCCTCCTATTCTTTCACTACTTTTGCTTTTTACAATTTTTTATTTTCTCAACTACCCCACTACCTCCATATTTTATTACCATTTTTTTTTTTAGAAAGCTTTTACAATATTTAAGTCATTTTCTCACATTTAGTGGACTCAACATAATACTCTCTCTCCTCCTATTCTTTCACTACTTTTGCTTTTTACAATTTTTTATTTTCTCAACTACCCCACTACCTCTATATTTTATTACTTTCTCCAAAAACTCCGCGCATGGAGAAATGGAGCAAGTATTTAAAAACGGAGGGAGTATCTTATAAGCATAGGTTTTGTATAAAAACTCAACATATTGCATTCTATTCTCCCTTCTCCCTAATTTGTCATAAAGTGATATAGAGAGAAAAGTTGTTCTCCTCTATTTCCCAACCAAATTCGCTCAAGTTTGTTGCAAATCAAAGCTTGTTTCATTTATTTTCCCGATCTATGTAAGTTCCTTTGTTCACGAATTTTCAAGAAACTCGAACTTAAATTGCTTAATTTGCTTCGTCCGTTGAATTTTATGCCATGAAATTGCTTGATTATGCTTATACATTGAAAGAATATAATAAATGAAATTGCAAAATACTTCAATAGCATATCATACATGAAATTTTGATTTACATTATGTTCTATATGGACACAAACTTAGATGCAGTGAACACTTTGTTCATTAATTATGAATATGTTATTAAATTGTGAAGATATATTCATAGCATCAAATTATATAAACAGTTTTAGTTTTAAGGAAAAATGGAAAAGAATAATCTCACCTTTAACACTTCTACTCAAAATAATCATACCTTTGAATATTCTGGGAATAATCCCACCTTTAACCCTGATTTTTCCAAAATAATCATCCTCTTCAGTTCTTCGTGAGTTTGTGAGCCCTCTCTTTTTTTTTTTTTTTTTGAGATAAATTTGTGAGCCCTCTAATTCCTCTACTCCTCCAAATTCTTACAACTGTATTTGTTTGAATTTTTTTTAAAATTAGTGATAATTAAAGTAATTACTTATTTGTTGGGTTTTTTTTTTCTGAAATAATGTTGAATACTTGAATTGTAGAAACTTAGAATTTTAAATTTTTACTTGGTCTTTTAATTGATTATTAGAAGAAATTTACGTTGTCAAATTTGTATTTATCGGGGATTTGGGATTTTTGTTTTATGTGTAATATTGTTTTTTTGCAATAGAACTATAGATTTATGCAGTAAATAGTAATGTATTAGGCCCTGTTCTCTTCACCTTAATTTTACTGAACTGAACTTATTTTTACTGAACTGAAATTATTTTTACTGAACTGAAATTAATTTTATTGAACTGAACTTATTTTTACTGAACTGAAATTATTTTTACTTAATATTATTTTTTTAAGGTGAATAGAACAGGGCCTTAGCACGCTTTTAAAGTATGAAAACTCAAAGAATGTTTTTGTAGTTTTTTTTTAAAAAAAAAAATGTAATACATCCATTTGTAATAAAAAATTTGAGCTTATGTATTGAATAATTAATTAATATATGATCATCGTTTTTTTAAAAAAAAAAAAATCGAACCCACAGTTCGGAATTCTTGGATATGCCACTGAGAGTATTCCAGGAGGTGAGGTGACATTTTGGGGTTGAGAGGCCAGTCTGGTGGGGCTGCGGGGAAGAAAATGAGGGTTTTTCTTTTTGGGTGGTGGTTGTGGTGGTGGTCGTAGAAGGCCATGTGGTGGTTATGGTGTGGGGTTGTGTTGCTGTTGAAAATAAAAATTTAAAAAAAAAATTAACTTCTTGAACAGGTTATAGGTAAATGGGATTGTTTTGGAAAGATGGGGGTTAAATGTGGTGATTATTACCAGATTAATTAAAGGTGAGATTATTTTGAGCAGAATTGACAAAGATGGGATTATTCTTTTTCATTTTTCCTAGTTTTAATCGTCTTTCCTCTATCATTATGCAAAGTTAGACATTGTCAAATAGGTTGGCCTTGTGATGAATTTTGGGCCTTTTACCCTATTACAGGTGAACAATTTAGATTTGGAGTTAAGGTAAGAATTGCACCACTCACAACTAAGTCATAAGCACGAGCAGATGGTGAAGCTCAAACTTATGACCTCAAAATCACAAAAATGAGTTCTCCACCATCTTCATTAAGCTTGATTGGTTAGCAAACCTAAGTAACTGGCTTAAAAAGTACAACTAAAATACCTAATCCAAGACAAAGAATCCCTGATAGAGGCCAGCTTGTCAATAAACATATCAAATCTACGGCTAATCAATGACAAACATTAGAGAGCATCTCAGCTATTAGCAAAATTTGCAAATTGCAGCCATTTAAAGTTCGTATTTTGCAAATTGCAGTCATTTAAAAAAAATTGCAAATTGCAGCCCAAAAGTTCATATAAATTGTAAATTGCAGCCCGATTCAACTTTTTCATTGGTTTACAAGTTGAAAAATCTTTGATTAAGGTTTTAGAGGGCATTTTAGCCTTTAGGAGTCCGAATTGAGCTCGGAATTAGCAAAAAAACAACGCAAGTATCTCGTTTTGCGTAACAAAAGTGTATCGATTTGTGGGAAACTGTAAATATGAGACACTTACGTTATTTTTTTGCTAATTCCGAGCTCAATTCAGATCCCCAAGGACTAAAATGACCTCTAAAACCTTAACCGAAGATTTTTCAACATGTAAACTGATAAAAAAATTGAATTGGGCTGCAATTTACAATTTATACGAACTTTTGGGCTGCAATTTGCAAAAAAAATTTAAATGGCTGCAATTTACAAAATACGAACTTTAAATTGCTGCAATTTGCAAATTTTCCAAGCTATTACTATCAATTTATCAAACAAAATTTATTATCATCCACAGCTAGATACAGTAATCAATAAAAATTGCTTATAAAAAGTTTCTTCTATTTTTATTGGTGTTTAGAGGAAAGAGAGTAGTTACAATCCTAGATGAATAACAGCAGCAAAACACCACAGTTTACAGGTCCTGCACAGCTGCACAGTTAAATCACATATCTCATGATCTGACAGCTTTTGCTTGCACTTCTGCCCAGACATGCATACTTTAAAAAGACGGTTGAGTAATCTGCCCAGATAAGCGTACTTTAAAGACGGTTGAGTCTTCTGCCCAGTCAAAGCCAAACATCTGAGCATGGAGATCTTGAAACAAACAACATACTAAGTAGTACACTAGCATGTATGAGAGACTATGAGACATGGATTAGAACACTGGCATGTATGCTGAGACTATGGGACTCCACATTTTATATCACCCTAGGAGTTCTTCCATCATCCCCTTTTTAAAAAACAAGATTTTGAGTTAGAGTGATCTCTAGATACAAAATGTTTAAAACCAGCAAAAAAGGTTGTCTTACTGTCCATCTACTTGAAACATGTAATGCTCAGCATCACTTCGTTTGAGGAAGTGGATTGAGTGGCTTGCAAGATTGGTATCTCAATCTCCCATTGCTGTCACACCAATATCATCAAGGACTCTTACTTTAAATGTAGGGATCTTTTGGTGGCACCATATCCTGCCACAGAAACCCACAATTTAGTATCCACAACTTCTTCAGAGTTCATCTGAAGGAGGAATGTTCAGATTTTGCAGTAGCAAGAAAATGATGAGTAGAAGATAGGGAGAAAGAAGAATGGATGCGTACCACAGTCAAATCAAGGCCATCCATGTCCCTCATATACGATTGTAAAGCTGAAGAGTGGCTCTTAAATTAACGCTTTTCTGGATCACTTAGCTTGTGCTCAATTTCTTTAGGAAGCAGCCGTCTAACCTTCCAGCTTAGGTTCTGTATAATTTCAGATCGGTTATGCCTGCAATTTTCAGAAACTGATAGTTGAGATAACAAATGATTGGCGAGATAGCTAAAGATCAAGTGAGAACAGGATCATAAGCTATTACTTACACATGCCATTAGGCAGCGCTTGTTGCGTAATAGAGAAAGATGATGGATAAGCATTCCAAAGTTATCAGCCTTTCTAGCTGATTGGACATCCAATATTCCAATCCTTCATCTTGCATTTTCCTGCCAATAGATAAGGCTCATCAGTACACAAAAGTTCACAAGAATAAACTAGTGTAAACAACAACAATCAAAGCCTTAATACTAAAATAGGGGTCAAGAATAAATTATTATAGACTGACTAAAATACTCAAGTTTCCCATTTTGCTTCATAAATCTGAGACAAAGCTTTGCGAGTTGCAATTTCAAGCTAGGTAAACATTTGAGGATGGAGGATAAATCACTAATAGAAAATATGTGATGGGAAGCCCCAAATGGCAAGCGATTTTAAAAATCCGCTTGCCACTTAGCCTTTTTTTTTTAAAAAAAAAAACTGTAATATTAAATGGCAAGCGGTTTTGGAGCGAACCGCTTGCCAATATATATAATGACAAGCGGTTTGGGGTTGAACCGCTTGCCATTAGATATAATGGCAAGCGGTTCAACCCCAAACCGCTTGTCATTTAAAAAAAACCCTAAACCGCGCGCCCCCCTTCTTTTATTTCTCTTCTCCTCTTTCTTTACCCCAGCTCTCTCTCTCTCTCCTCTTTCATTTCGTCTGCTCTCTCTCTCTCTCCTCCTTCTACTCCCGTTTTCCCTCTCTCTCCTCTTCCCTCTAATTCGCCCCTTTCTTCTTTCATTTTCTCTTTTTCTTTGTTCTTTCTCATCTCATCAAATTCGAACATAACTGGGTAATTCGAGCAAATTTCAAGGATTATTTCAACCAAATTTCGAGCAAATTCGTGGCAGCGTGTGGGTGTATAAGTTTTTTAAGTCAAATTTGACCATAAAAACTCTAGATCTAGAGTTTTTATGGTCGAATTTGACCTTTAAAACCATAATTTGAAGCCAAAATCGGAGGGTTAGATGGTCGTGGTGGGTTAGATCGATGGTTTTTTTTTTTATTTTTATTTCGATTTTAGTTTTATTTTTTATTTTAATTTGATTTTTGGTGGGGGGTCGTGGTGGGTGGGGGTCGTGGTTTGGGTTTGGGTAGGAATCTGGTTTGGTGGGTAGAGGTCGTTGTTTGGGTGGGAATCTGGTTTGGTTGGTGGGGTCGTGGTTTCGGTGAGGGGTTTTGTGGTGGGTGGGGATCTGGTTTTGGGTGGGGGTCGTGGTGGGTGGGTGGCTGGGGGTTGTAGTTTCGGTGAGGGGTTTTTTTGGTGGGTGAGGGTCGTGGTTTGGGTGGGGGGTCGTGGTGGTTGAGTGGCTGGGGGTCGTGGTGCTCGTGGTGTGGGCTGGTGGCTGTTGGTTGGTGGTGTAGGGTGGTGGCTGGTGGTGTGTGGTGGTGGTGGCTGGTGGTGTGTGGTGGTGGTGGCTGGTGGTGTTTGGTGGTGGTGGCTAGTGGTGTTAATTTATTTATTTTTTGTGATTGAAAATCAGAAATTGTAATTTTTTTTTGAAGAAAAATCAGAAATTGTAATATTATAACAATTAATTAATAAAAATATTAATGTTTTTACATATGGTTTGATTATATATCAATTTAATAGAAAAAAACCAAAAAAAAAATTATTTTTTATTTTTTATACCCCTAATGGGCAGCGGTTTGGCGCCAAAACCGCTGCCCCTTCACTACAATTGGCAAGCGGTTCAGAACCGCTTGCCATTTTAAAGACCTATTGGCAAGCCCCCTAAAGGCATGCGGTTCAGAACCGCTTCCCATTAGGGGGTTTGAACCGCTTGCCATCACTTATTTTCTACTAGTGAATATACATAATATGTTGCAATGGAAACAAAACTAGAGATCATCATAGCTAGCATATGCATAGTACAAGCTAAAATATGGTACTTGTCATCCAGTTGAATGGATTATTGAAAGTCCGGGAAGGATAAGTACAGTTGAGAGCCGATGAGATGCTTCTCAAACTCAACAAAAAATCACATAGCTTCTGGGACAACATCAGTACAATAGTTGTTTACTGGCGGTTCAGTTATGCAGAAACAGATGAATGGCTTGTTCAAGTGTTGAGGGGAAGAGGCATGGGCGCATGGCAAGAATGTGCCGAGGAGCAAAACGTTTAGGGAATTGAAATCAAAACTTTATTTAATGAAAAAATTAAAGGGAAGCTTACCTAGTAAGTTCGTAAAATTGACTGTATTGAAAAATACAAAAAACCAGAGTTCCCATCATTTAAACTAATAAATAATCTTTGACTTGGTTGGATGTAAAATAATTCAAATTCAAAATAATATCAATTAGTAGCAAATAGAAAATTAAGTCAAAGATACACCCAAATAACGAATTATCAAAGTCCAACAATGGATAACACATGCAATTAAAAAATAAACCAATTCATAACTATTAGTAATTAACAAAACCAACTTAAAAATAATCCAAGATTCAAAATTTCAGAACCAATTTAATAAACCCAGAAATCCCATCAACTTATGTCATGAAAAATTGCGAATTGGGTGAAAGTAGAATACCAATCCAACAACAATAATAAATTCCAGGTAATCGCAGAGCTTGCATGCAAGTTAAACGACTAATAAAATTGTTATTGTCAGCAAAAACCGATAACACAATTGTCAAAATCAGAATTTAACAACCAAAATCAAAAACCCAGAGATCCGATAAACTAATTTCATGAAAATATATGATTTTGGCAAAAGTATAATACTCCAAATTCGAAATAATCTCGAATATCAGCAAATAGAAAAATCACAGTCGTTGAAAGCAAAAAACGAAAACAAAATTGCCAAAAACAGAATTTAAGAACCAAAATAAAAAAAACCCAGAGATCCCATCAACTAATCTCATGAAAATACGTGATTTGGGCACAAGTAGAATACTCCAAATTCGAAATAATTTCGATTTCCAGCAAATAGAAAATTCACAAAAAAAAAAAACCCAAAAACGAATTATCAAAGTTCAAATTATATATCAATCAAACCCCTCAATAATTACTCGAAGATATCAAGAGAATTTCGAATAATTGCAAAGCTTGCTTGCAAATTAAACAACTAATTGAACACTATTTTAAAATTGAGAATAAATACTTACCGAAAATACTTCACATTAATGCGTGAATAGCAAATTCACGAACCGCAGAATTAGATTCAGATGAAATAAAAAAAATTAAAAAAAAAAAAGCAAGAATGAAAGCTGGACCAAAAATGAAAACTGGACCAAGAATAAAAGCTGGAGCAAGAAAAAAGGAAGTGAGAAATTATAAGAATGAAAGCTGGAGCAAGAAAATAGGAAGTGAGAAATTATATTCAGATGAAAGAGAAAGAATAATAGCTAAAATGAACGCTGGAGCAAGAAAAAGACTAAAAGAAAGACTTGTTGTAAGGGCATTTTCGGAAGAAAAAAAAAGGGCAATTTCGGTACACCACTATTCCTTTTGAAGTTACTATTCACTTTCAAAGATTTGCCAAAACTCTTAATCTCTCTCAACTTCCCTCTTTTAAGGGTTGAAGATATTACAATTAATTATGGAAAAAAGATTATTACTACCGTGCATCACACGAGATTTAATCTAGTATAAAATATAAACTTGTATTTTCTCAATAAGGTAGGTGGATAAAAAAAAATAGTATGGGGATTGACCGTATGATTGTAATCCCTGGTTTATACACATGGGTGTACAGTGCTCATCGTACACCCGGATAAATAAAAAAAAGGCGGAAAGAACATCTTGTGTTTCATAAAGAACATGTTTGTATTTGACAAAAACATGCATTACCAAAGAACATAAAGATATAATAAAAAGAACGAGATAAAAACTTAATAAAAATTTTCTGAAAAATTATACATTAACGGAAAAAATTTAGAAGTGATAAAAATCGAGTAGGGCCGGGCCATAACATAATTTCTTGTGCCCAATCCCGTGAAAAAGTAGCGGGTTTTTGGGTTTTTTCGTGCCCGTTTCGGATTTTAATTGAAAATGCATTTTTAGGCTTGCCCAAACCCACCCTATTTCGGGTCGGATCGGGTCGGGCTGCGAGTCATGCCAATGTTGATCACCTCTTTACAAATCTTTACCAAAGATTTCATTTCCCCAAAAAGTAGTTTTCTATCTCTCCAAAAAAATCAACTTCCCATAATAATTTAGTTTTTTTACTCTAATATTATTTTCAATTAAAAATAATTTAAGATTTCAATATCAAATTTCAAAATAATATATTTAAAAGAACATAGTTTATATTGGAAAGTACATATAGTTAATACCTAAATAACACACTTATCAAACCTAAAAAACATACGATTGTAGACACCTAAAAATGTCTCCCCAAAACCAAACCCAATGATGAACAAACTTTCATTGCCATTATTGATCGGATTGAGTATTTAATCTTAGAGTGCTTAAATCCATATTTCCATTTCATAAACCAACCCAATTCCTAGCCCATTTCCCCAAACCATAACTGTTTCGGGGTTTTCTGATGTCCTGCGGGAGAGTTACAATTCCGAGACTGGAACCGGACGCCTGTACCTGCAAAATAACGGAGACTCCTGGGAGCTCCGCCTCCAACGGTCAAGTTAGTACCTGATTAAGGAGTAATTAACGCGGAAAATTAAAGTAATAAGGTCTCTCTAGGTGAGAGTGTTTAATGTAGGTAATCTGCTTTGTTAGCGAGATCAGCCGGTTATTAGTGTGTTCCGTAATGTTTCTGTTCTGTTCCCCCCCCCCTTAATGAGGATTAAGGGAGGTATTTATAACCTTGGGAAACGTGCCCATCCTAGGTTTAGGTAAACCTAGGGCCGATTGGGCTTCCCTCGGAAGTTGGGCCTGGGTGGCCGGTTTTCCCATTTGGCATGGGTGGACACGTGGCGTGTCTCAATTGGTCCGTAGAGGACGTATCTGTGATTGACACGTGGCAGGCTCCTATTGGCCTACGTGGAGGACACGTGGCGGAACCTGGTTGGTCCACTTGTTAGACGGTGATTGGTGGATAAAAATCCCCTAATCATTTGCCCCTCACAGGTGGCACGTGACTGGTCACGTGTCACCTGTGACAGGTGCCGCACGGTGACAGGTGACGGCCTGCTACAGGTGTCACCTTGCAAATGGCCGAGAGATTTTCCCGCCCAAATTTTGAATTTGGAAGCGACCCTTCGCCTTCTCACTTTGCCTATATAAGGAAGTGCTGACTTCGGTCATTTTCACATTTGAGAACTTTGCGAGAACATTCGGACCCCTGAACTTGCTCTGACATTTCGGACCTTTTCTGCCTACCGCCTGTTCTGACAAGCCGACTGCACAGGATTTTCAGAACTTCATCAACCGTCACTCGTTCAGGTAACTGTCAGTTCTCTTACTCTTAATTTTTCTTTTTATTTTTTGAAATGGCACCACGGAAGCACACGACACGACCTAAGTTAGTGATCAGCCGGTCACCGGGGACGGCTGAATCTAGGACTAGGAGTGCCGCCTGCCCTTTTCTGGACCCATCTTTGCCCTTTATACAAAGTCCGACTGTATCTGTGTCTATGCAGAACGTGATGGCCAGAACAAAGAAGACTGCTAGGATCTCAAACTCGGACGGCTCCTCCCAAAGAGTGCCCATTAGTGAAACATCTGACCAGGCGCCAGATGTAGATGGGAAACAAGGCGGCTGCCAAGCCGACAGTTCTGAGGGAGGGGTCAAGGTGATTCCTTCCCATTTAACCGTTGATATGTCTAACTTTTCTCCTGCTCCTTCTAAGGGAGAGGAGGCGGGCCCCTCTGGGAGAGGGGAGGAGTCGTCCTCTTCGGACTCGTCAGAGGACGAGTCCGAGTCCAGCTCTTCTGGCCACGCTTCTCCAGGCTCAGAAGAAAGAAACAGCCGCCTACAAGAGGCGAGGCTTTCTCATGCAGTTGAGAAGGGGGGCAATTGGGCGGAGCCGTCCGCCTCTTACAGAGAGGAAAACACCCCCTACTACTGCACGGTACCCCGGGGCCGGATCGCGGCCATGAAAGACAAAGTGGAGAGCTTTATAGCTAACCACAGAATGGGCCCCGGATTTTTACTGTTCGTTCCGGATCCAGAAGACACTGTCGTCTGGCCGGCTGGTACCAGCTATGATGGCGGCTGCTTTGGCTGCTATGAGGCGGCCATCAAAGCTGGACTGCGCTTCCCATTACATCCGGCTGTTCAGCGGATTTTAGATGGGTATGATTTGGGGTTATGGCAGTTAGCCCCCAACTCTTGGGTAAACGTACTCGGCTATGTGGCCGGGTGCGAAATGTACGGGGTGGAGCCAAGCTTTGAGGCTTTCGCCCATATGAACTATCTCAGCCGGACCCCTAAGTCGGGAGGTACCGGCTGGTATCAATTAACAAGCCATAGGGGCTACCTCATGACGAGAGGTAAGGCGAACAAATGGAAGGATTGGCGGAACACCTTCCTTATCATCGAGGGTTCAGACACGGAGCTGAACAAACGCTTTAACAAGTGGAATAGGGATCCGCCTCTTCTCGCAGGCGGCCGCAGCATGCCGCCTGTTCCCCCAAAGGCTAAAAAAGAGATCCTAGACAAAGGACTCTTCAAAGTAGAGACTAGGGTGAACTCTACTTCAGGGGTACGAGAGCAAGTACCCCTAAACTGCGTCCCGAGCTTCAAGTGGCTCTATGACGAGTACTTTTTGGCCGCCTGTGGCCTCAGCAGTCGGTGCTCTAGAGGTAGCCGGCCTGACAAATACTGTTTTTTTCACGCCTTGTTTACTTGGGATTTTTACTAACTTTGCTGTTTATTTTTTGCAGCTGACGCCATGAGTAAAATAATAGCATCCAAGACTGCGGCGGCCATGTTACGGGCCTCTCTCATGCAACAGTCTTGTACCGACTCCCCCAACAAGGGGGCACCCTTGGTAGGCCTCGAAACTCTTCCTCTTTAAGGAGTTGTTGTCTTATGCATATACTAACTCTTTTTTTTTTTTTTTTTTTCAGTCGGGCACTCCAAGAGCTTCTTCCTCGCAACATCCGGACCCCAAGGCCCGGAGGACGACTGTTGCAAGCTCTCCTGGGTCTTCCAGGAAAACAGTGGCGGCTGAGAAGCAGCCGGCCACTTCTTCTAAAACTCCGGCGGGGCCGCCTAGAAGTATGGACAATTACTTGTAAAAACTTTCACTTGCTTCCTTCTTGACTAGGTCTAACTTGCTTTTTTACGCTTGATGCAGCCGGCCCTCAAGAGCCTGACTTGGTAGAGGTAGCCAAGTCCATGATCAAAGCAGTTCCTCCTTCTGAAAAGGAGGCGGTCAGGGGTGTCGGCACCCTTGACCTTGATGGGATTGCAGGGGTCCTTGCTGAGGTATACTTGGCATATTTTTGAGTATTTGAATTCCAGGACGCCTGTTATCTTTTTTGTTTGGAAACTGACGCCTATTTTTTTTTACTTAGGCCATGCTCCGAGTTAACGGCCTTCGCAAGCCGATTGATCGGAAGAACAAGGAGGTAAAGGCTGCAAAAGCTATGGCCGCCTCTGACTGTGATAAGGCAATGTTTCAAATTGCCCAAAATGAAGTACTGACCATTGATATTCTTTATTATCAGGCGCAGGCTACCGCCGCTGTTCGGGCTCAGTTAGAGGCGGCCCAGAAGAGGAACAGCGAGCTGGAGGCGACCGTCTCCAATCTCAAGGCCGAGCTTAAACCTCTCCGCCAAAAGATACTCTCATACGATGCCATGGAGAAATCCTTGGCTAATGTAAAGGAACGCCTGGTTACCCAGGAGAAGAGTCTAACTAAAGAGCTCTCGGAGAAGGCTGAGCAAGAGAAGAGAGAGCTCGTCCGAGAGATGATTGAAGACTCTTCCCAGATCCAGCGCATGACCTGGAGCCGCCTCTTCCCCAGTGCCGACTTTGCCTCTTGGGAAAGAACGTACCGCCAGTGTTCGGAAACATATAATCAAGAGATCCTGACGGCTGCTGAAGAAGAGGCGTTGGGAGAAGCGTTGGAGGAGGAGGAGGAGCCGGTTGTGGCGCTTGTGCCACTTGGGGGTAAGGCATCAAAAAAGGATGCAGCTGAAGCCGAGTCCAGCAAGAAGAGTGCTGACCAGGCGGCAGCTGCTAACACTGAACTGCCCCCTTCTTAAGCTTTATGTATTCTTTCCACGGCCTGCGTGCCGTTTGCTTTGTATTTACCCGGCCAGGGGGCCGGGGTTTTGAATATTTTGATCTTCATTAATGCAATTTTATTTGCTTGAAATTTGTCTAAGTGTTGAATATTTTGATATTGATTTGTACACTATATCGACTGTTTTGCATGGCCGATTGTAGACAGGTACGGATGGTCCGCCTATGCCCCTGGACGACTGGTTGTCTGTTTCCAAGCTGGGCGATCAGTCGGCCATTAATTCAATCGGTCTTGGTCCCGTTTAAAAGATCGGATTACCTTTAGGCAGGCGGTCCTGTTATTTGTAAAATTAACCAAGAAAGGGTTTTCTTACTTGTGTGACTAAGTAAATATGGCTCTAC